AATTAGAAGAAAGAATTGGTTTGTACTAACAGACGAAATCTATTACTAGGCCCTCAGGCTCAACATACTCACACCATTACTGGGTGGACATATTCAATACACTTCCAACCCTACTGGGTGGACATACTCAATAGCACAACTATGATAGTCACTTAGCACCATACATACTAGGGCAACTGCCACTACAACACTCAGTCGTCAGGTGTGTTACTCAAGCAACAGCCATGGGGTCCAGCCACCATGGAGTACTATCCGACGAACTCTGGAGATCCCAGTGGGTTAATTCCACCACACAAATATAGCCCTACTGAGGTAGACATTCATCCACCAATGATGGGGGCTGGTAGTGGTGTGTGGCTTGGTGGTCCAGGGTCACCTCGTGGACCGAGCGTTAGGGCCAGACGAGCCAGCTATGGGGGCTATAGGTGGTCTGAAGTGTCTGACGGCCGGGTCTCACGAAGGTAACTGATCCTACTGGACCTCGGACATGTCCCCAGACATAGTGGATACAACATCCACCCTACAGACACGGCCTAGGCTGCGTTAGGGACCTGTATGGATGAAGGGACGGGCACTTACTAACTGTGACAACAACATCACGTTTCAGGGTACGTTAAAGACGTAAATATGACTTTACTCAGAGCATATCAACTACGTTACTGTAACACTTGCACAATCAACTATTAATTGGGTCAAATCATTTAAAGAAGGGCAAATTACAACACAGCGTGGAATGGCATACCTGTATGGATGAAGGGACGGGCACTTACTAACGGTTAAAATGCCCGCGTGCCCTCACTCAAACCAGACCAGGGAGTCCACCTACTCCTATTCCGATGAATTAATTTACGGTACCCTCTGACGTTGAAATTGAGACTATGAACTCATTTTCATTCTCTACTATTATCTTCACTCACAATGCTCTGACTCAGCTATCGAAAGCAGAATTAAATTGATCACAAAGGAATGGATGGCAACAGGTCCCAGCATACAGCGTCTGCTCCCATAGACAAAGGCGGGGGAAACAGAGAAAACGGGGGACGTTTCCACTGGGGGACTCGGAAGGTTTTGTGGACGTTTGAGCGTAATATGAATCCTTAAGGTTTTCAGGTTAGCTCTTATCATGACCATTACAAAACAAGTGAATTAGGATAGAATATTATTGTAATACAACAGTTTTTTAACTGAAAACCATACGAAAATCGATTACGGTAACATCTTTTGAACGAAAGAAAGCGAAAGTCATTGCTTTCGTCACTTTCCATTGTAATACATACGTCATTTCAGCAAAAATATTACATTTCCATATTCTCAGAAATAAATAGTAGTTTTGCTGAAAAATTAACAGTTACTACCACCAACAGTCATCACCACCAGTCACCATTGCCAATTTCTTCATATTTGGACAATTAAATAAAAACAATTAGTTACTAGATAAACACATTTCATATTTTATACTGTTTAAATGTTTCAGAAATTATTATTATATTTTGCTATGTACAGTAGAATTGTGTTTGGAGAAATAATTTAGTGTTTTTGTGGTGGGTTATACTGTACTACAACACTCTTGTACTTTATAACCATCAAACAAAAACACTCCCCTTAAACAAAACACTAAACAGGAACTAAAAAACTGTTTGATGGAGACTTAACTTCCTTTTCTTCCCGCATTTGACTCTTATTCGTGGTCTTCACAACACACAGTGCAGGTCTTACTACAGCCTATATTATTTTACTTTTCAACTTTTCCGAAGACATTTGTCGAGAAGACTCCGTGAACAGTTGCTACAAAGGTCAACGAGGGGTGGGGGAAGTTCACTGTGTACGACAGTTACACTATGTGACGGGAAGGTCTGTGTAGAGAGGTCGGACGGGCGCGTGGTGAGGTCCGAGGGAGTGATGATGCTAGATGATCAATTCGCCATGCTTCCTTGTACTCGACAGGCAGAGCCCAGTGTTACCCAGGCCATTGTGTGTACACTGTCTGAGTGGCTTAACTCTGAGAAGCACAAGTCCCAAATGTTATGAATATCTGAAAAACTATAAAAGGAACTTTGAGTAAAACAACTCTAAAAGAACGGGCCAAGAATTTGTCATTCAAACCTGGCATCTACACTTGTGCTGTCACCATGAACACAAAGTCTGACATTCTTAGTCCACTTGAAAGGTTTGCCGCGGATATCATTAGATGAAATGGCTACTAAGTAGTAAATTGAGTTATGACAGCGTAAGGGATATCCTATATAAACCTCATGAGAAAGTCCAGGTCAGAATGCTAGGCGGGTTGGTAGGCAGAAGTTGAAGCAGCCAAATTTTATGACTTTTGATGTCCCAGATATACAAAAGATCTTGTTAACTTTAATAGAAGAGTTGAGCATGAAGGTCACCCTGTCATTGCAATGGTGCAAGACGTGAGGGTCCAGTAACCTAAGGTGTTGACAAAATTTCTGACATTGATCCTGTTGGAAAAAAAAGAAATTATTATTCCAAACCCGTAGTCATGATCGATAAATTCTCAATCCAGGATTTTACCTCAAGACTGGAAGCTTTATAACTGATTCTGTATTTGGGAATGATGACAGTGAAGTAAGAAAGAGTTTGGTTTAGAATACAAACTATGTGAAAATGAATTTAAATGTATGGGAGGGAGGGGGGGGGGCAGCAATGACAGCAGGTTAAATATGAAGACCAAATGTTGTCAAAATCAGTTCTATCTCACTGAAATATATTGGAGAGTAGAAATTGGGACGAAAGTGTGGCCAGACTCTTTTATTTATCGCCCTTTTAGATAGTCCCTCTTACTATATTACATCTTTCTCAACTAAACTTTCCCATACCAGGAGAGAGAGAGAGAGGCCAGCCAGCTATATTTCATGCGACGCCACTGTGCAGAGCTTATCAAAACTAGACTCACTGTCGGGTCCGACCTCTCTACACTGATCTTGGTGAGACACAAACACTGAGCAAGAGTGCCTGGGTAACTCAGTGGCACAAGGGTTCCATTGCACATGTTCCAAGCTGTTAATTATTACACTACTTATGACGTAGGAATAACTGTACACTCGCTGGAGAAATAAAAACACAATAACTGGCGCTAATTTATACAAAGTACACATTCAACTCTTAACAGTAGTAAAATGTTATTATTATGTAGTAATGCTGGGTAGCCATTGGTTAAAATATATAAATAAAAATAAAAAACAACACAACAGTAAAATTAATAATCTAGCCTTGGTTAAAATATAAATAAAAAATAAAAAACAACACAGTAAAATTAATAATCTAGCCGATGTGGCATTATGTGCCGACTGGGAGGGAAGTGGTGGCTTGATTTGAGCTTGACACAGCGGCAGTGGAGAGGATGATCGTACCTGAGGAGAAGAAATCGCTATAATGACCATCTCCCACACCAGGAAACAAATTATAGTCATCCCTTCAATATGTTCACCTACAGGGGCAAAATATCATCAGTTCACCTTCAGATTTTTTATACAAGTTACTCCTTAATATATTCACTTAAAAGGGTATAAGACGCCCAAGGATGGCTCCCCACCCCCCCCTCATGGGGACTCAAACAAGGAGAATATTAAGGGGTTTAAAACAGCTATTTTATCTCCTCAAGTTTAAAATGACCCACACCTTTAGCTGAGCCGCCATGACCCACACCTTTAGCTGAGCCGCCATGACCCACACCTTTGCTGAGCCGGCCATCTGTCTTGCCACGATAAGTTTTGGTTTTTTTTAGTTAAAAAGAATGAATAATGCAAATTTTGGTCAGTGTAATATTACCTCATGTACCTTAACCTGACTTAATTCTAACTGACTTAACCCAAACTTAACCCAACTTAACTTAACCTTGACTTAACTTAACCCGACTTAACTCAACTTAACTTAACCTGGCTTAACCCAAGTTAACTTAACTTAACCCGACTTAACTTAATCTGACTTGACTTAACCTGACTTGATCTAACCACAAAGTTGAGAAACAATAAACTGACTAATTAAGCTTAGATAATAAAGAAAATGATCATTAAAGCTAGAAAGACACAGACTGACTTGGCCAAATAAGCTAGAATGATAAAGCTTAGTAAGATTTAAGAAATACAAGAAAATAATGATCTAATATACTTATAAAGAAAGCTTAGAGGTACAACAAGAGATGGAAAGCTTAGAGATACAACAAGGAGATGGTAGGAATAAGGAGATGGAAAGCTTAGAGATACAAGAGATGGAAAGCTTAGAGGTACAACAAGAGATGGAAAGCTTAATGAGGAATAAGAGATTGAAAGCTTAGAGGTACAACAAGAGATGAAAAGCTTAGAGATACAAGAGATGAAAAGCTTAGAGATACAACAAGAGATGGAAAGCTTAGAGATACAACAAGAGATGGAAAGCTTAGAGATACAACAAGAGATGGAAAGCTTAGAGGTACAACAAGAGATGGAAAGCTTAGAGGAACAACAAGAGATGGAAAGCTTAATGAGGAATAAGAGATTGAAAGCTATACATACACACAGGAGGTCCAGTAAGCTTATATACATGCACAGCTGTTACAGTAAGCTTACACACATACAGCAAAGCCTCAAGACACACACAGTAAGCTCTGACACACACAGTAAGCCTAAACACACACATTAAGCTTACAGACACAAGAAGCTCTGACACACAGAGTAAGCTTAGACACACACAGGGAGCTCTGACACACACAGTAAGTTTACTGACACAGGAAGGTCTGACACGCAGAATAAGCTTAGACATGCACAGTAAGCTTAAACACACACAGGAAGCACTGGCACACAGAGTAAGCTTAGACACACAAGAAGCTGACACTGAGTAAGCTTAGACACATACAGCAAGCTTACAGACACAGGAAGCTCTGACACACAGAGTAAGCTTAGACAAACAGGAAGCACTGACTCACACAGTAAGCTGACACACACAGTAAGCTTACACACACCCAGGAAGCTTAGACACACCCAGGAAGCTTAGACACACCCAGGAAGCTCTGACACACCCAGGAAGCTTAGACACACCCAGGAAGCTTAGACACACCCAGGAAGCTTAGACACACCCAGGAAGCTTAGACACACCCAGGAAGCTTAGACACACCCAATAAGCTCAGACACAGTAGTTCAGCCTATAGGTAAATAACTTACGATGGTTCGGCCACGACATTCTTTTTGGTTAACCAGAAATTCTGAAGTGGAGAAAAAAATGGTGGGGTAAATATTACAACCAAACCTCAATTGACCTGACCTGGTATGACCTGACCTGGTATGATCTGACCTGGTATGATCTGACCTGGTATGATCTGACCTGGTATGATCTGACCTGGTATGATCTAACTTGGTATGACCTGACCTGGTATGACCTGACCTGATTGGTTCATTTTTGTCCCAGTCAATGTCACCTATGTGGTGATTGGTTGAAGTTCATACATAAATACATATAAGGTGAGAACAGTTGCTGTGTGTTTAGTGTGGACAGAACCTTGGGAGGGAGAGAGTGTATTGGCTGTTGGAACATCTACTCAATACATGCCAGAAAAATATTGTGCAAAATATGATTGAAGAAACAGTAACTATTGGCCCATACTGGACAGTCCCGTTAACACCCAACCCCTATCACTCATATATCCAACCAACCTAACCTAACCTATCCAGCGTGTTCTAGTTAATGACGATGTTTGGTAACTTGTTCCAGTAGTCCACTACTCTATTTCCAGGCCAAAGTTTACCTATCTCGCGCCTAAATCTAAATTTGTCTAATTTAAAACCATTGTTACGAGTTCGCTCCTGGTTGGATAGTTTGAGTACCTTTGTTATATCACCTTTGTTTAGCCCTGACTTCCATTTATACACCTCTATCATATCGCCCCTCACTCTACGTCTCTCGAGGGAGTGTAAATTAAGATGCTTTAACCTGTCTCTGTACTCAAGGTTCCTAATGCCCGGGATTAGACTTGTCATTCTCCTCTGAACTGCGTAATCCAAGTGAGGTCTAACAAGCACAAGATATAGTTTTAGGATGACCTCGCTAGTCTTGTAACTAACACTCCTTTGTATGAACCCAAGTACTTTATTAGCCTTGTTCCCAGCTAATACACATTGTTTACTTGGTTTAAGATTCCTACTCATCATTACTCCTAAATCTTTCTCTCAGCCGGATTTCTCTATATCATCGTTGTTCATCTGGTATCTGGTTTCCCTGTTTACATCTCCTATACTGGGTATTTTACATTTGTCCACGTTGAATTTCATCTGCCATTTTTCTGACCATTCGAAAAAATTGTCTAGATCTTCCTGTAGTTTTGCGGAGTCCTCGTCAGCTTTAATTACACGCCCTATTTTAGTGTCATCAGCAAATTTACTTATGTTGTTGTCTACGCCAATATCTATGTTATTTACGTATATAATAAATAATAATGGTCCAAGTACTGAGCCTTGGGGTACTCCACTAGTGACGTTGCTCCAATCGGATTTAGCGTCGTTAATGCTCACTCGCTGTTTCCTGTCCTGTAACCACGCCCTAATCCATTTTAGAATATCACCTTTAATGCCATGAGCCTCCACTTTTCTTATTAGCCTTTCGTGGGGGACTCTGTCGAAGGCTTTGCTTAAAATCAAGATATACCACATCATAGTCGTGCCCCTCGTCCACTGATTCAAAAACAGATGAAAGTAATGTTAATAGATTAGTTAAACATGAATGCCCACTTGTGAAGCCATGTTGGGAATCATTGATCAACTTGTGCTTCTCCAGGTGAATTGAATAGAGTTTGAAATGATTGTTTCCAGTAATTTGCCCACAATTGATGTTAGACTGATTGGACGGTAGCTAGAGGATAGTGATCTATCTCCCTTCTTGAAAACCAGTATTACATTCACTATATTTGGGTGTTCCTAAACCAAAGTGTGTGTGTGTGTGTGTGTTTCAGTAAGTAAATCAATAAAGATCATTATCCAGCAGCATCCTACTGGTAAAGACCTGTTGTGATAATATATTGATGAGGAGTGAACTGACACAAACATTAACCTAACCTAACTTAACCTAACCAAAACTAACACAGGTATAATATACCTAACCTAACTTAAACTGATAACCTAACGTAACCTAACCTAATCGAACCAACCATAACCTAACCTTTGTTTGGTTGTAATAGTGTGAAGGAAATGATTTAAAACACAAGAGAGTGAATTTGTTCTAGCAACACTGGCACACAACACAAAACTCCACAAAATATCTCCACTAAAGAATTTCTGGTTCGTAAAAAAAAAAACAAAAAAAAAAAACACCAAGTTCTTTTTACACGGCAGCCAAAAACAAGAACAACGGTTCATTTACAACTCACTGTGGTGGTTGTTGTGGGGGTGTTGTAAGGAGGACCCAGTGTGTGTGGCCGGGTTAGGACTGCTCGGTACACCAGGTGTGTTGGGTGTGTTCTGGTGGACCTTCTGACGTACTTCTCTTATCTTGAGTATCAGACAGTTCTTGGTAGGGAAGATGTCCGAGTATCGAGACTGGAATGCTGCGACGGCTTGGGCTGTGAGGGGGTTACAATTAGTTCACACACACACAGAATAAAGTAGAAATATACGCACATATCCTCAACTTACATACACACATACAGTAAAGTAGCAATATACACACATACTTTACTCTGTGTGTGTGTGTGTGTTGAGGATATGAACACATATGTGCGTACATTTCCGCTTGTTGTCTTAGCAGAGGCAGGTCCAGGACTATCAAAATGGGGTGGACGGCGGTGTAATATAATGGCCATTTTGAGGTCATGTTATATTAGGAGATATTCTGAGGTCAATAGTAATACTTTTCTACTATATATACAAAAGTCTGAGTACAATACTGTAATAAAGAAAAACTATTGGAAGTAGCTGATCAAAAGGAGGGTACGGACCCTTAGGACAGCGCCCCCCCCCCCCTCCTGGATCTGCCCCAGCTTAGTGCTTTACTGTCAGATTGTATAAGCTTAACTTAACTCAATTTAATGGATTATATAGAGATGAAAGTCCATTATATCGAGGGTTTGTTAGATGGTGAGAGAGAAGTTCATTATAGGGGGGTTATAACTATAATTCATTCTCTCTCTCTCTCTCTCTCTCTCTCACCAGATGGGAACCAGCTCGCTCTCTCTCTCACCAGATGGGAACCAGCTCGCTCTCTCTCTCACCAGATGGGAACCAGCTCGCTCTCTCTCTCTCTCCTCTCTCTCTCTCTCTCTCTCTCTCTCTCTCTCTCTCTCTCTCTCTCTCACAGATGAGGAACCAGCTCTCTCCTCTCTCTCTCTCTCTCTCTCTCTCTCTCACAGATGGGAACCAGCTCTCTCTCTCTCTCTCTCTCTCTCTCTCTCTCTCTCTCTCTCTCACCAGATGGGAACCAGCTCTCTCTCTCTCTCTCTCTCTCTCTCTCTCTCTCTCTCTCTCTCTCTCTCTCTCTCTCTCTCTCTCTCTCTCTCTCTCTCTCTCTCTCACCAGATGGGAACCAGCTCTCTCTCTCTCTCTCTCTCTCTCTCTCACCCAGATGGGAACCAGCTCTCTCTCTCTCTCTCTCTCTCTCTCTCTCACCAGATGGGAACCAGCTCTCTCTCTCTCTCTCTCTCTCTCTCTCTCTCTCTCTCTCACCAGATGGGAACCAGCTCTCTCTCTCTCTCTCTCTCTCTCTCTCTCTCACCAGATGGGGAACCAGCTGGGCTCTCTCTCTCACCAGATGGGAACCAGCTCGCTCTCTCTCTCTCTCTCTCTCTCTCTCTCTCTCTCTCTCTCTCTCTCTCTCACCAGATGGGAACCAGCTCTCTCTCTCTCTCTCTCTCTCTCTCTCACCAGATGGGGAACCGCTCGCTCTCTCTCTCACCAGATGGGGAACCAGCTAAGCTCTCTCTCTCTCTCTCTCTCTCGCTCTCTCTCTCTCTCTCTCTCTCTCTCACCAGATGGGAACCAGCCATATTCAGTAAAGAGCTGCATCACAAGGGTGCGCCTCTGATCCAGGATGTGCCTCAAGGATGAATGGCTCTTGTCCGCATCTCTGGGAGTCTTGGGTGAACGGCCTCCTGCAGCAGGTGACTCTATCTCGCACTTGTCCGCCCGAGACTCACCAACTGTTGAGGTGGTAAACTGATTACTGCTCTATCTGACCTGACCTGACCTAACCCTAATTTAACTTTAACCTAATCTTAATCTAACCTGACCTAACTTAACCTAACCTGACCCAATCCAGAGTCATACCCAGCGATTTTTGCCCCTGGACAAGTCTTAACAGTTAATTCACTCCCCACTAGATGCTGTCCAGTTAATTCACTCCCCACTAGATGCTGTCCAGTTAATTCACTCCCACTAGATGCTGTCCAGTTAATTCACTCCCACTAGATGCTGTCCAGTTAATTCACTCCCACTAGATGCTGTCCAGTTAATTCACTCCCCACTAGATGCTGTCCAGTTAATTCCTCCCACTAGATGCTGTCCGGATTAATTCCTCCCCCACTAGATGCTGTCCAGTTAATTCCTCCCACTAGATCTTTTTGTCAGTTAATTCACTCCCACTAGATGCTGTCCAGTTAATTCACTCCCACTAGATGCTGTCCAGTTAATTCACTCCCACTAGATGCTGTCCAGTTAATTCACTCCCCACTAGATGCTGTCCAGTTAATTCTCCAAAGTCCAGACAATTTGGCGGGAAATATGGTCAGGCTTTTTGACGGTTCATTGTATATTATATTGAGGAAACTATTGTATATAATTCCAGGCCATCAGATGGTTGAGACCAGTTGACTGTTGTTTCCTCTACTGTAATCTGGTAAATTAGTTTATATAAAAAACTGATGACCAATATACTGAGCCACTACACTGTACTGTCTGACCTACACTGTACTGTGACCTACACTGTACTGTCTGACCTACACTGTACTGTCTGACCTACACTGTACTGTCTGACCTACACTGTACTGTCTGACCTACACTGTACTGTCTGACCTACACTGTGCTGTCTGACCTACACTGTACTGTCTGACCTACACTGTACTGTCTGACCTACACTGTACTGTCTGACCTACACTGTACTGTCCTGACCTACACTGTGCTGTCTGACCTACACTGTACTGTGACCTACACTGCTGTCTGACCTACACTGTGCTGTCCCTGACCTACACTGTACTGTCTGACCTACACTGTACTGTGACCTACACTGTACTGTCTGACCTACCTGTGCTGTCTGACCTACACTGTACTGTCTGACCTACTGTACTGTCTGACCCCTACACTGTGCTGTCCCTTTACACTGTGCTGGGCTTCTGTGTCCTGCTCCACCCCTTGAAGGTTTAACTCACCCTTGAAGGATTAACTCACCCTTGAAGGTTTAACTCACCCTTGAAGGTTTGCTGCTGAAGGTTTAACTCACCCTTGAAGGATTAACTCACCTTGAGGGTTTAACTTACCCTTGAAGGTTTTAACTCACCCTTGAAGGATTAACTCACCCTTGAAGGTTTAACTCACCCTTGAAGGTTTAACTCACCCTTGAAGGTTTAACTCACCCTTGAAGGTTTAACTCACCCTTGAAGGTTTAACTCACCCTTGAAGGATTAACTCACCCTTGAAGGTTTAACTCACCCTTGAAGGTTTAACTCACCCTAGAAGGTTTAACTCACCCTTGAAGGTTTAACTCACCCTTGAAGGTTTAACTCACCCTTGAAAGTCTCTGGGTTGAAATCAGGAGGAAAGAACTTGGATCCTTGCAGTGTGGAGGAGGGTGTCAGTGAGGGTGTCTGGTGAGGGGTGACACTCATGGGAGTATCTGAGCCTGACTCTTCACCACCTGCTGAAGAAAACACTATTAGTACCACTTATACTCTACCTTATACTGTGGTAACACTTCTACTCTACCTTATACTGTGGTAACACTTCTACTCTACCTTATACTGTGGTAACACTTCTACTCTACCTTATACTGTGGTAACACTTATACTCTACCTTATACTGTGGTAACACTTCTACTCTACCTTATACTGTGGTAACACTTCTACTCTACCTTATACTGTGCTAACACTTCTACTCTACCTTATACTGTGGTAACACTTCTACTCTACCTTATACTGTGGTAACACTTATACTCTACCTTATACTGTGGTAACACTTCTACTCTACCTTATACTGTGGTAACACTTCTACTCTACCTTATACTGTGGTAACACTTATACTCTACCTTATACTGTGGTAACACTTCTACTCTACCTTATACTGTGCTAACACTTCTACTCTACCTTATACTGTGGTAACACTTCTACTCTACCTTATACTGTGGTAACACTTCTACTCTACCTTATACTGTGGTAACACTTCTACTCTACCTTATACTGTGGTAACACTTCTACTCTACCTTATACTGTGCTAACACTTCTACTCTACCTTATACTGTGCTAATCAGAGTCGCCCCGGACCCTTACCTCACCCAGTTAGTGATTGCGTTAAGCTGACCTCACCTTACCACCCAGACTGAGAACAATGTCATTCTTTACTGTGCTCTCTGTCAAAGAGGAGTGTTGACAGTGGTCACCTGTACAGTGGTCACCTGTCAGTGTTGTCCAAACTCTGAATCTCCAGTTGTCCGTAATTTGTGTTTTGTGAAATTGTTGATATGCATTATTTTACTGTCGTACACAGCCCTCTATCATTCCGTGGCCAGCAGGAACAGAGACAAAGACATCTCAGGTGCAGAGAAAAGGAATAGAGAACAAATCAAAATGTTAATGAAAAGTTCCCTAGAAAAATATGTGTTTTAAAACCACCAGAAACCAATGCAAAAAGAACCTGAGCGACTGTGACGGTGTGGAGGAGAGTACCGAACAAATACTAAGGCTTTTAAAATGGACAGTAGTACCTACGCTAACAGTCAGGATGATGAAGATCTATGTGATCCAGTTGGCCAAGTTACTGGACACTACCACAACAGATATTTTGGAAGAAAAAGAACCTGAGCGACTGTGACGGTGTGGAGGAGAGTACCGAACAAATACTAAGGCTTTTCAAATGGACAGTAGTACCTACGCTAACAGTCAGGATGATGAAGATCTATGTGATCCAGTTGGCCACGTTACTGGACACTACCACAACAGATATTTTGGAAGAAAAAGGACCCGAGCGACTGTGACGGTGTGGAGGAGAGTACCGAACAAATACTAAGGCTTTTAAAATGGACAGTAGTACCTACGCTAACAGTCAGGATGATGAAGATCTATGTGATCCAGTTGGCCACATTACTGGACACTACCACAACAGATATTTTGGAAGAAAAAGATGACCTATTAAGTTATCTGGTGAAAATTATGTGTTTCTAAAAAAAATGGTGAAAACCGACACTTTTCAGAAGACTATTACATGTGAATATTGACAAATGGAGAATATATGATGGAGGTTGGCTTATATCCACCAAGAAGGTTGATGGAAGCTGGTTTATATCCACCAAGAAGGTTGATGGAAGTTGGCTTATATCCACCAAGAAGGTTGTTGTACTGTACGGCCAATATATAATATATTTTCCGCTTCTACTCGTACATGGCAAGTGCTAAGAAGACATGTTCACTCTGAGTCCATACCATTACCATAGGCATGTTCACTCTGAGTCCATACCATTACCACAACTGGGTGGGACTGTTGAGTGAGTGTGTAGAAAACATCAGCTACCAGACAAGAGTAAATAGGTATAATAAAAATAAAATATTAATGATAATAATAATAATAACTACTGTGATATTAATAATAATAATGGCAATAAAGAAATACAAGAATGAAAAAGTCAATAGTGAAGCTATATGTTGTGTTGTCATGCTTAATAGAACAATTGAGACCTTGCAATTGTGTGTAAATGAGCAGAAGACAGATCAGCAACCTGAGACTTGGTCACAATTTTCGTGATGCCATATAGCAGAGTCTACCATGTGACAACACACTATGTTGCCAATATCTTCCCTGGCGGTAGGACCTCCTGTTTGGTAGATGTCTACTACTACCTACAGGAGTGATACTGTCTAATAACTCAAGTGAAGCAGAGTCCTTGGCCAAGTGAAGCAGAGTCCTTGGCCAAGTGAAGCAGAGTCCTTGGTCAAGTGAAGCAGAGTCCTTGGCCAAGTGAAGCAGAGTCCTTGGTCAAGTGAAGCAGAGTCCTTGGCCAAGTGAAGCAGAGTCCTTGGCCAAGTGAAGCAGAGTCCTTGGCCAAGTGAAGCAGAGTCCTTGGCCAAGTGAAGCAGAGTCCTTGGCCAAGTGAAGCAGAGTCCTTGGCCAAGTGAAGCAGAGTCCTTGACCAAGTGAAGCAGAGTCCTTGGCCTGCTACAAACTCCAAAACTTTGAATTTCTTTAAGGGAATGATTGTATGGTATGACATCCTGTTTGCTGTAAACACTGTGAGTAAGACTCTTCAGTAGAGAGACATGCAGCGAGATATGGCCATCAAGACCATTCAAGGAGTTACTGCAGAAATACAGGAACACTGGATTTGCCTCAGCCAAGACGACAGCAGACAAAATAGCATTCGGGATGGAGATCGAACCTGTACTAAAGGATCGCCGAGTAAAACAACGACAACGACGTCCATCTGACAAGAAGGATGATTCACAAAACTCCCCAGAGAAAACATTTGAAAGAAATTACTCTTTGGTCATTGTTGATCAGGCAATAATGTCACTGACAACAAGATTTAAGCAGATACAAGAGTATGCCAGTAACTTTGGTTTCCTGTGAAGAAACTTTGAGAAATGGAAGACAACATGAAGATGCAGTGTATAGCTTTGGACAACTCACCGAGTGTTTGAGATTCTTAAGCTATTGACGGAGAAGACCTATAGCCTCGCGTACTCCGAGAAATCATTCCCCAAGAAACAAAAAGTACACTTAAGTCTTTCGGTTTCTAAAACCTCCCGATGGTTCCTTCTCAAACACAGAAATTGAATATAAGATTTTGTTGACAATTCCACTCACAGTTGCATTAGGAGAGCGAAGTTTTTTCCAAATTTAAATTAATAAAAACTAAGAATAACTATGTCTCAAGAAAGGTCGAGTGAACCAACTATGTCTCAAGAAAGGTCGAGTGAACTGGCTATGTCTCAAGAAAGGTCGAGTGAACCAACTATGTCTCAAGAAAGGTCGAGTGAACTGGCTATGTCTCAAGAAAGGTCGAGTGAACCGGCTATGTCTCAAGAAAGGTCGAGTGAACTGGCTATGTCTCAAGAAAGGTCAAGTGAACCAACTATGTCTCAAGAAAGGTCGAGTGAACCGGCTATGATTTCCATTGAAAAGGAATCGGCAACAAATTTTGAGTATGAGGATCTAATGGCAGAGTTAGGTACCAAAAAGATGAGGAAAGTGAATTGTATAAAGCAGGCAGCTGTGAAAATGAACCTGTTTTTTATGTCATGATATTGATGTTTAAGTTGACAAAATTATTAAATAAACAGGTTCAGAATATAAGAGAATTACATTTCATTTTTTTTTGTTTTAGACTATAACAGTAAATTATGAATAGTTGTTACAGTTCACAAATATAATATATACAAATTTATCTTTTAGAATATGTTATAATATAAATCACATAATAATTGATGTAGTTATAGTATGATTGAGGAATTAACAATATGTATATTACAGTATGTATGTATGTAACTAGATAAATGTAATATAAAGACTACTAAAGGGACCCTCAGTGTATGAATTGCCCTGGGACCCACACCCCTCTAGGGACGGCTCTGGTACTGAAACTGTACAGGTGTTCCTCTACTTAAGAACGTTCAACAAAGTGTACAGGTGGTCCTCTACTTAAGAACGTTCAACAAAGTGTACAGGTGGTCCTCTACTTAAGAACGTTCAACAAGGTGTACAGGTGGTCCTCTACTTAAGAACGTTCAACAAAGTGTACAGGTGTTCCTCTGCATAAGAACGTTCAACAAAGTGTACAAGTGGTCCTCTACTTAAGAACGTTCAACAAGGTGTACAGGTGTTCCTCTACATAAGAACGTTCAACAAAGTGTACAAGTGGTCCTCTACTTAAGAACGTTCAACAAGGTGTACAGGTGGTCCTCTACTTAAGAACGTTCAACAAAGTGTACAGGTGGTCCTCTACTTAAGAACGTTCAACAAGGTGTACAGGTGTTCCTCTACATAAGAACGTTCAACAAAGTGTACAAGTTCTCCTCTACTTAAGAACGTTCAACTTACAAACTTTCACAGATACAAACATCATCACTGAGGGGGTTACCTGCCAGAACAGGTGTTTAATGTGAATGAGACTGGATTATTTTGAAGATAATTCCAGATAGAACAAATATTACCTAGAAGAGTGAGCCAGGTTTTAAGGCTGTATTAAAGGCTATAGCTCTACTAAATATCCACAATCTTTTCATTTTTTACAATATGTTTGGTATCTACAGGAGTAAAGTTGGATTTACAAACAATTGGACTTATAAACGAGCCTCAGGAACTTAACTCATTGGTAAGTAGAGGAGTACCTGTACTACTTAAATGTACTTACAAATACAGTACTTATTACTACTACTGTACTTATACATATATATCTACTCTATCACCAATACTGTACTCTAAAACTAACACGAACTCTATCATCAATACTGTACTCTACAACTAACACGAACTCTATCACCAATACTGTACTCTAAAACTAACACGAACTCTATCACCAATACTGTACTCTACAACTAACACGAACTCTATCACCAATACTGTACTCTACAACTAACACGAACTCTATCACCAATACTGTACTCTACAACTAACACGAACTCTATCACCAATACTGTACTCTACAACTAACACGAACTCTATCACCAATACTGTACTCTAAAATAACACTATCACCAATACTGTACTCTACAACTATCACGAACTCTATCACCAATACTGTACTCTACAACTAACACGAACTCTATCACCAATACTGTACTCTACAACTAACACGAACTCTATCACCAATACTGCAACTCTAAAACTAACACGAACTCTATCACCAATACTGTACTCTACAACTAACACAAACTCTATCACCAATACTGTACTCTACAACTAACACGAACTCTATCACCAATACTGTACTCTACAACTAACACGAACTCTATCACCAATACTGTACTCTACTTACTGGAATGTTTACGTTTTTTCCTGTAAGACGTAATAAAGGTCCGCGGGGAGGAAGGTACGGAGGGCCCAGTGCTAGCGTTGACACTGGGGGACTGGACCTCGTCAGGGTTAAACTCGGGCAGCGCTCCGAACTTCTGCTCGAAATTCACCTCTTCAAGGACCCTGATATACAAGATGGGTGTTAATTACTTGGTGTAGGGTGGGTAGTGTAGGGTGTGTAGGGTGGGGTGTAGGTTAGGTTATACAACGTACTTGTCCATGCCATCCTCAATATTTTTCTTAAAGAAACTCTTCTTCTCACTAGGTGATGGTGGAACAGAGACCATCTGCTGGGTGGTCGTCTGTACTGATGAGTCGCCCTCTGAAGCATTACTCAACACCGGAGATACCTTACTGTCTCCGCTGGGGTGGTGCGGAGGAGCCATCTTTACGTCCGGAGATAACTGTGGTGCAGTGTCTCCTATAGATGATATTTGCCCTGGAATAACATCATTACTACAGTATCTGCAACATTCAATAAATCCAGAGATTAAAACCTATTTTTTTTTGGTTACGCTAGACAATAAACCACAGTCAGCGTTAAAAGATTTACCTGAAGAGTTGAGTCGCTTTTGTCTAGGGGCCTTGCCGAGCTGTGCCGGCGTAGGAGCCAAAATAAACTTTGGTTTGTCGTCTAATTCTTCGTCGTCTAAAGGTCTTCCTCCTGGCACTGCTACAGGTATACTAGCAACCTGGGCTTTAACTTTCTGTTGCTGCTGCTGCTGCTGCTGCTGCTGCTGCTGCTGCTGCTGCTGCTGTTGTTGTACTTGTTGTTGCTGTTGTTGTTGAAGCTGTTGAGATGGAGACAACTGCTGCATGGGAAGAGTTATGGCAGCCAGAGAACCCGCAGCTGGAGAGTTGGTCACTACTGCAGCTGTACCACCACACCCTCTACCTGTGTGAATACCTGTCTCAGTAATGGCTCAACTACAGTACTTGTATAACACAGTGTTTGGTAGTGTGGTCCATGGTCCATGGTCCATGGTCCAGTGTTAGTACAGTACTTGTATAACACAGTGTTTGGTAGTGTGGTCCATGGTCCAGTGTTAGTACAGTACTTGTATAACACAGTGTTTGGTAGTGTGGTCCATGGTCCAGTGTTAGTACAGTACTTGTATAACACAGTGTTTGGTAGTGTGGTCCATGGTCCAGTGTTAGTACAGTACTTGTATAACACAGTGTTTGGTAGTGTGGTCCATGGTCCAGTGTTAGTACAGTACTTGTATAACACAGTGTTTGGTAGTGTGGTCCATGGTCCAGTGTTAGTACAGTACCATGGTGTAGTCCAGTACACACAGAGTTTGGGAGTGAGGTCTATGGTCCAGTGTTAGTCCAGTACTTGTATAACACAGTGTTTGGGAGTGAGGTCCATGGTCCAGAGTTAGTACAGTACTTGCATAACACAGTGTTTGGTAGTGAGGTCCATGGTCCAGTGTTAGTACGTACTTGTATAACACAGTGTTTGTCCATGGTCCAGTGTTAGGTACTTGTATAACACAGTGTTTGGTAGTGAGGTCCATGGTCCAGTGTTAGTACAGTACTTGTATAACACAGTGTTTGGTAGTGAGGTCCATGGTCCAGTGTTAGTACAGTACTTGTATAACACAGTGTTTGGGAGTGAGGTCCATGGTCAGTGTTAGTACAATGCTTGTATAACACAGTGTTTGGTAGTGGGTCCATGGTCCGTAGTACAGATATAACACAGTGTTTGTCCATGGTCCAGTGTTAGTACAGTACTTGTATAACACAGTGTTTGGTAGTGTGGTCCATGGTCCAGTGTTAGTACAGTACTTGTATAACACAGTGTTTGGTAGTGTGGTCCATGGTCCAGTGTTAGTACAGTACTTGTATAACACAGTGTTTGGTAGTGTGGTCCATGGTCCAGTGTTAGTACAGTACTTGTATAACACAGTGTTTGGTAGTGTGGTCCATGGTCCAGTGTTAGCACAGTACTTGTATAACACAGTGTTTGGTAGTGTGGTCCATGGTCCAGTGTTAGTACAGTACAGTGACCCCTCGTTTAATGAACACCTCGGTTAAAGAACTGCCTTCCATAAGGATCTTCAAAACGGTTAACGAAAAAAAATTCGGTTAACGAAGTTCTTACGAGCCGACCTCAACATGTTTTCGCTTGCACTGACCAGGCAACCAGCTTTAGCATCAGTCCGCCAATACATTAATCGGTTCTAGGGCTTAAATTCCTTACTATTTTAGTAAATATCAAGAAGTTTATACTATTCAATAATTTTAAAAGTTTAATATTCAATTTTTTAGTCATTTTAACAATTATTGAACATAATTGAAGGTAAAGTGACTAGTTTAATGCGTGCCATCCAGCCTCTTAACACAGCAAACAGGCGTTAGTCTCTCTCTGTTTTCAGTGGAGGTAACATCTTGCTTGAGACTCTTCAACTAAATGCTTTTTTTCTGTTTCCAAGCAAATTATTGGTCATTTTGAAATATATTTTACATATTGACAATATATAATGCAGTACAGTGTTGATTTAAAGAAAATAATCTTGAATTACACCAGAGAGTTAAAATTTTATGGGTGAAATGGTGCCATGGGGTGACCTCTCTTCCACCCCAATGCCTTCTCTTCTTCCTTCTCCTCCACCCCCATTCTAAATCCCATCATCATCATCATCATCATCATCCAGGAGCCTTCTACATACACACCTCAAAGTAAGTGAACTTTTCTACCATTTTTGTTGAATTTAGGAAATTTTCAGTGAGCTGGAACCAATTACCCAAAAACCCATTGAAACAATGGTTTCGGTTAACGAACGACCTTCTGGAACGTATTGAGTTCGTTAACGGAGGGCTCACTGTACTTGTATAACACAGTGTTTGGTAGTGTGGTCCATGGTCCATGGTCCAGTGTTAGTACAGTACAGTACTTGTATAACACAGTGTTTGGTAGTGTGGTCCATGGTCCAGTGTTAGTACAGTACTTGTATAACACAGTGTTTGGTAGTGTGGTCCATGGTCCAGTGTTAGTACAGTACTTGTATAACACAGTGTTTCGTAGTGTGTCCCATGGTCCAATGTTAGTACAGTACTTTATAATACGTCTTGTAGTGTGGTCCATGGTCCAGTGTTAGTACAGTACTTGTATAACACAGTGTTTGGTAGTGTGCTCCATGGTCCAGTGTTAGTACAGTACTGTACTTGTATAACACAGTGTTTGGTAGTGTGGTCCATGGTCCAGTGTTAGTACAGTACTTTATAATACAACGTCTGGTAGTGTGGTCCAGTACTTTATAATACAACGTCTGGTAGTGTGGTCCATGGTCCAGTGTTAGTACAGTACTTTATAATACATCTTGTAGTGTGGTCCATGGTCCAGTGTTAGTACAGTACTTTATAATACAACGTCTGGTAGTGTGGTCCATGGGCCATGGTCCAGTGTTAGTACAGTACCTTAGAACACAACGTCTGGTAGTGTGGTCCACACTGGATAATATTCTTCTCACATGTGCTCCAGGCTGGGGACTTAACCCAGGACACAGGGGTGAGAGATAACACTGTATAACCAATACCCTTCTCTCTCTCTCTCTCTCTCTAAGACCTAACTAAGTACAGTACTACAGAGACCCAACACCTAAGTAAAGATAGATAAAGACAAATAGAGAGAAATATCTATATTTTCTTTTGGTTAACATTGAGAGGAGGAGGAGGCGGCAACAACCTACCAGCAGGAAGTGTTTGGTAAGGAGAGTGAGCCAGAGAGACAGCCTGACCCATGGCCTGTCTGGAGGAGCTGGAGATGAGCACCATGCCCTGGGCCTGTGTCGTCTTGGTCACGGTCATGGGCTTGATGACCCCGTCCGTCGTGGACGACACCATCCTCATCCCCGACGACACCGTCAGCTGCTTGGTGGTGGAGGGGTCCGTGGACACCAGCAGGTTGCTGGGCAGTATGAGCTTACCGTCGGGCAGCACGGACGGCACCAGGTACTGCACGTGAGTCGGCTGACCCGACCCAGCCCCCTTGTTCGTCCCCGGCTGGCTGCCCGCCGGGGCGGCCGGCGTCGTCTTGACCACCACGTTGGTCACGTGCATGGGAGAGGAGCCCCCGGGGGCCACGAGGGTCCCGCCCTTGACCCCGGCGTTCAGCAGAGTGTAGTGAGCCGGAGACATGAGAATGGCGGCCTTGGGGAGGGCGCACACGGAGGTGGTGGAGGTGCCGGAGGCGGAGGTGACGATGGCCGTGTGGAAGGTCTGGGCCTTGGTGTCGGCCCGTAGACCCCCGTCGACCGGCTTCCTCTCCTGGGTGGCGACGGTGAGGTTGTGGAAGGACTTGATCTGGTTGGTCTTCATGACCGTCTTGTGGCCGGCAGGAGAGGAAACGTTACTGATGATCTTGATGTTTGTCCCGGCACTCTCTCCCTCCTGCTGCATCACGTTGTTGTTGTCGCTCCTCACCTTGGGGGATGGAGGCATCGACCTGTGACAACACAAACACCTCTAGAGTTAACCTCTTGACACACACACACACACACACACACACACACACACACACACACACACACACCACTTTCATCATTACAGCAGAACCTTGATAAATTGGACTCATTGGGACAGACCCCAGTCTGAAAAATGTTACAGTGAGGAAAAGGATAAAATTTAGGAGATAACATAAGAACTGTTTAAGAATATTAGTTGTTGTTATTACTTCAACAACAACTAAGGTCTTTAAGAGTGGTTGTTAAAGATTATTATAATAGTGCATTAAACACAACCCTCGGGGCTGAGAATCATACAGGTATGACTGGTTGTGACCGAGATGATTGTTATTTAAAGTGTTACATGTATGTAACAACACAGCTTGTTTTATTTAAAAACTGTACAGTCCAGGTTGTACCTCTCTAGTCCGGAAACTCCCGTGGTCCGGAACGATTTTAGTTTGTCCAATAGGTAGATAGGCAGCTTTTTTTTTTTTTTTTTCTTATCTGAATTATTATTACAGGAGTATTAAATTTTTGCCCCTCAGGCCCCAATGTGGTTCAGTGACCTATGCCTGGGTGGGCTAATCCCCGTAAAAAACAACAACAACAACAACAACAAAGCCGCGGGAAATTAAGGTTTGTTTACATCCGGCAGTTCGGCTGCTCTCTCTCTCTCTCTCTCTCTCCTTGTCTATACAGAGTATAACATTTAACCCTTCAATATATATGAGCAGTAAATAAGTGTTGTTTTCATATTCTTATGTAGAGTAATGACGATATGTTTTCACATGTGCGCACTTACATACGCGCAGTCTCACTTTTTTTTTACCATTAATGGTTAGCTACTTATATTGTTCCATTTATTAACATTAAATAACATTACAGGTACTTCAAACAACCATATTAATTTCTTTACATTAATTTTACTACAGCTAAAATCAGGGTCTTATTTTCTTCAGTTTTATAAGTAGAACCAATCAGTAACTGGTTTTGTAAGCTTTAACAAAAACAATGCCGGCAGCCGTCTCGTCTCCTCGTGTGTTTTAATATTCCACGTATTATTAATGAATTGTATTGCTCATTTTGCACACACAAACATTAATTCAATCAAAAAGACTTTCAGTAATAAACAATAATGAATCTTTTGTACATAAGAGAAATGCCGCTTTTTACACGATTGTGCACGTCGTCTGAACGTTGGCGGGCCGTTCAAACCCGTCGAAATTTGGGTTTCCGCCGTCAAAATTTTTAAATGTTGTTTTTTTGTGTGTTCAAATAGAAAATGTCGAATTAAAAACTCGCGAAATTTGAGAAGCTACTGTACGACATTTAACCCTTCAATATGTCTTCAAAGAGACCATGAAAGTGGTGCTAGTGCTTCCAAGCCAAGTCACTATCTATCCAGGAAAAGGGTGAATTTCCATGGTCCGGCACCGGTCAGGTCCCGAGGTTGCTGGACTAGAGAGGTACAATCTGTAGTGTAAAGTTTTATACATATACCCAAGTTTATTCATTAATCATTTGTCTAAGTGTACAAGTAGCCAAACTGAGTCATCATATAACACCAAAAGGCAGTAAATAACATTTTTAAAAAGGTATCTTTCAAGTCATTACAACTAACATAGTGTTGTATTTTGTCTCTGTTACTGTAGATGTTATATTAATGAACCATAAGAGACCAATCACATGAGAATATAATACTGAATCAATAAATGAATGTGGCAACACCTGATCAGTCCTAATCTGTTTAGTGTCTCAGTTCTCAGTAGGCCTATAGCAAATATCATTACACCACTGTACAATATTCAGTAAGTGTTGTTCATTTAATGTTTTTATTAATCTTCCCCCATTTTTTTTAATATGTCTAGTCACCAGATCATCCCAGAGTCTGTAAAAAATGAATTCCGATTTATTGGTCCGATTTATTGGTCCGATTTATCGAGGTTTTACTGAATTACAAAACTAAACACTGGAGAGGTCTTAACACACAACCATTTAATATTAATGTACATAGTGTATCAATAGTGTGGTAGGTGTAGATGATAACAGTGTGGCAAACTAAGGGTGTGGTTGACTCACCTGAAGGCACTGCCAGTAGACTGTAGTGTGGTTGTGGTGGGCATCTGGAGGGTAGGTGTGGAAGGCAGGTGTATGGGCGAGGGTTTGCCCGCCACATGTAACTGGTCGGCCCCGAACTGTGCCGAGCCTGTTGGCCCATACAAGGTCACCACCTCCTCGGTCGACAGCGACGGTCTGTCCCGTCATCAAGACACAAACATCAACAGTGTTAGTACAGGCTGGCCACATTAACCTAACCAGTACAGGCTGGCCACACTACACATTAACCTAACCTAATGTTAGCTTAACAACATTTGAATGAAGGAACAGTAACTATTGGCCCATACTGGACAGTCCCATTAACACCCAACCCCTATCACTCATATATCCACCCAATCTAACCTAACCTATCCAGCGTGTTCTAGTTAATGATGATGTTTGGTAACTTGTTCCATTCATCCACTACTCCATTTCCAGGCCAGTGTTTACCTATCTCGCGCCTAAATCTAAATTTGTCTAATTTATAACCATTGTTACAAGTTCGCTCCTGGTTGGATAGTTTGAGTACCTTTGTTATATCACCTTTGTTCAGTCCTGACTTCCATTTATACACCTCTATCATATCGCCCCTCACTCTACGTCTCTCGAGGGAGTGTAAATTAAGATGCTTTAACCTGCCTCTGTACTCAAGGTTCCTAATGCCCGGGATTAGTCTGGTCATTCTCCTCTGATTTCTTTCTAGAGATTCTATATCCATTTTGTAGTACGGTGACCTGACCTGACCTGACCTCACCTGGCCTTGATGGGCTTGGGCTTGTACTTAATCTCTCCTCCGTGGGTGGGAGAAAAAGGTCGTCTGAGGCGTTCGTTGACCTCTGTGTCGCTCTGTGTCTCCGAGTCAGAGTCCCCGACATGTTCCTTACAGGCCAAGTCTATATCACTGGTGCAGTCTGTGGGAACAATGGTGGTGGGTCATTACTGTGGGAACAAGGGTGAGAACACACACACACACACACACAGGTGATAGTGGGTTTATTGACTTGGTTACTGGAGACAAGACCTCATATGTGTCACCAGTGCTCAAGTCAACCAGCCCACAATCCTTACATAAGCTACGACCCATTGTCATCACCTCAATACCCAGCTTAATCTGTGATAGTGTCGTGTTTGACTGGACTTGTGTTGATATTGCAGGCGCCATAGATTCTCAGCAATTTGGCAATATGAAAATTCCTCCACCACTCATTGTCTTGTCAGCTTTCTCGACTACATATACCGCCACCTGGATAAATGAAAAACGTCTGTAGCTGCCGCCTTCATTGACTTCACCAAGGCATTCGACCTAATCGGCCACAATTTAATCGTCAATAAAGCTATCGACCTCGGGTTTCGAAGTCTTATACCATGGCTTACAGACTTCCTCAGTGACCGACGCCAAGCTGTACGCTTCCGAGGGGCTGTCTCCACCTTTCAGTCATTCACCTGTGGCGTCCCCCAAGGCACCAAGATGGGACCACTATACTTCCTTATGCTTATCAATGATGCCCTAAGAGAAACCCCTGCTGGCTGGAAATATGACGACGACTCCACCATTGAGATCAGCGTCAACAACTCTGCTCCCGACTACACCGCCCTTCAGGATTTATTGAACAGTCTCCAAAACTGGGCCACCAACAACCACGTCACCATCAACCATACCAAGACCATGGTTATACACATCAACCTCTCTTCCGACGTTGTCCCACCTCCTTCCATTACTTTAGGTCCCAACACACTCCAGGTTGTAGACTCCACGAAGCTCCTCGGCGTCACCATACACAACAAACTAAATTGGAAACCACACGTCAGTGAAGTTGTCAAATCCTCCAGTTTCCGTCTCCACCTCCTCCGCCGACTCAAGTCCCTCGGAGTTCCTGCACCCGAGCTCCTCAGTGTTTACTCGACATTCATACTTCCCAAGCTCACCTATGCCTCCCCCAACTGGTCTTCCTCCCTAAATGCCACACAACGTAAACACCTAGAAAAAGTGCAAGAGGGCATGCAAGATTATTCTCTCCCCTTCCTACTCCACATATCAAGAAGCGCTCAACACACTGACCCTCTCGGCTCTCACTGACCATCACCACGACCTCATCCGCAAATTTGGTGAGAAGCTTCTGCACCATCCTCAACACTGGCTCCTACTACCACCAGAGATCCCTCGCCCGAGAATTACTGTTCGACACCACAACCACATCCAGCCCATACGAGCACGTACTGATCGCTATAAGAACAGCCCAGACCCAACCATTGTAAAAATTATCAACAACTTGTAATCAACCAGTGTATTCACTCCCAGTCAATCTTACCTTTTTACACTGTCACTATGTTGAAATGCCCTGTAGTATGACCTTCTCCCCACCGAGTTATTATATATCATATTTGTATCACTTATGTTACTTGTACATTATTTGTCAATCAAGAGACCCATTCACCAATTATGTAACTGTATATTTCCACCCTTATGGCTGCCATGCTCTTTCAATAAACCATTAATTTTTATTATTATTATACACACACACACTTACACTACACACACACACTACACACACACACACACTTACACTACACACACACACTACACACACACACACTTACACTACACACACTTAAACTACACACACACTTACACTACACACACACTTACCTTGTTTAATATGTGAACCACCTCTATGGGAGTCAGTGACCAGTTCTTCACATATAACCATCTTGGAGTCATCGTCAGACACTTCAGACCCCACAGTGTCTCTCCTCGGTCCAGTGTGAGGCCCATTACTTGGTACCACAAACTGTTTATTCACCTGTAATTATTTATATAAACATTGTAGAGTGATCACCAGCAGCAGTCGTCCCCTCCCCCCCCCAAGGCTAACACATGAGGCAGTGATCTGGTAACACTGTCAGAGGAACCACTCGAGTGATGTACTTAATATGTCTCATTATTGGAGAGAGAGAGAGAGCAGGATGATGACACTCACCATATTATTAGCAGTTATAGTCGGATGTGTTAAAGTCACGTGTGTACTGGCCGCAGACACTTGCATCACCCTAGTGGCCGAGTGAGTACCGGCCGCGGCGTCCTGCGTGGAGCTATTTGGGCCGCCCGGGGTGAGGAGTGGACCGCTATTTGGGCCGCCAGGGGTGAGAGGCATGCTGTCCAGACTCTGCCCTCCCCCAGGGGTGTAGGGCGGTCCATCACCCTTGTTGGAGCTGGTCGATGATTTTCTTCGGTCTTTACTGCACCACTTCCAGTCTGGGTGGGCCCTGTAGTGATGCTCCTTGATCTGTGGTGTATGGCTTACGTTAGGGTTAGGTTAGGTTTACGTTAGGGTTACGTTGGGTTAGGTTACAGAGAAAGTCCTCTCCATAACAGATATTCTCACTAAGGGATATGAACCTCAGTACATCTAGCAACTTAGGTACAGTACCATACAAGGAAGGTACAGTACCATACAGTACAGTACCATACAAGGAAGGCACAGTACCATACAGTACAGTACAAGGAAGGCACAGTACCATACAGTACAGTACCATACAAGGAAGGTACAGTGCCATACAGTACAGTACCATACAAGGAAGGTACAGTACCATACAGTAATGGACAGTTCTTCACTCACTTCAGAGGCCAGACTGTGGTACTTTTGCTTCTCATCGGGGCCCAGAGCGTACCACCACTCTCCCAGGATCTTGGAGACCGTCCGGTTGTCTTGGTTGGGATACCGCTGGTGTACGAGGGGTCGATGTCTCTTGCTGAAGATCATGAAGGCATTCATTGGTCGTCTGATGTGCTCCTTGTCTCCTTTACTCTGAAATATACGGAGTTTTATTAAGGTGTCGAATATGTCGCCTAGTCTACCCTAACACAACAACCACACCCTGAGTTAATGAGCTGTATGATCCAGTGTTTAAGGTGTACAAGCTGTCGCCAACACAACAACCACACCCTGAGTTAACGAGCTGTATGATCCAGTGTTTAAGGTGTACAAGCTGTTGCCTAGTCTAACCTAACCCAACAACCACACCCTGAGTTAATGAGCTGTATGATCCAGTGTTTAAGGTGCAGAAGCTGTTGCCTAGTCTAACTTAACCCAACAACCACACCCTGAGTTAACGAGCTGTATGATCCAGTGTTTAAGGTGTACAAGCTGTCACCAACACAACAACCACACCCTGAGTTAACGAGCTGTATGATCCAGTGTTTAAGGTGTAGAAGCTGTCACCAACACAACAACCACACCCTGAGTTAACGAGCTGCATGACCCAGTGTCAAGGAATAGTCCGAGAAGACCGGACAGATCGCCAACTGCACTGGCTAACCATCACCCTGGAACACGATCTGCAAATCTATCATCACCCAGGTCCCCAATTACTGCTGGACACACATACACACACACACACACACCTTCCTAGGGCTCTTGGGTTCCTCCTTGCCAGAGAAGGACCCCAGTGACTGAGTTCTCCTCTTGTTGGTGCTGGTGCCAGTGTCCAGATCACTGACAAACACATCGTCATCATCGGCCGAGTAGTCTAAGTCCACCTCCTGGCCGCACGACTCTCGACGGCACTGTCCGCCCTCTACCTTGGTGCCGTCGCCGCCCGCATGTCCTCGGCCATTGGGTAGGACCTCCCCGTTGGTGGCGGTCTTAACGTCGTTCTCGTTTTTTGGCTGTTGTTGTTGCTGCTGGTTCGAGACGGTTCTGGTTGGGGTCGTTATGAGAGGAACGAGCTGACTCCAGTGATAAGTTGGCTGGTGGTGGTGTTGTTCCCACCCCGCCCCGCCTCCTTCCTCCTCCCCCGACGGCTGCTGGACCGCCCCGTGCTCCGTGACGTGACACCTCGGCTGGGTGGTTATTATGACGGCGCCGGTCCCCGTGACGAAGGCCGTGGTGGCGAGGGGCGTCGCCTCCGTCTTGACCCGAGTCGTCGCGTCGTCGGCCGGTTCCTGTTTGGAGACGCACGGCAGTCTGGCGGCGCCGTCGTTGGCACGCAGCAGTAGGCCCTCCTGCTCTCCGCCGCTCCCCGCCGCTCTCTCCGGGCCGTCGTGGACCGGCTTACCGTCGGCCGCGTCGGACCGGCCGCCGCTAAACCCCGATCTATCTATGGGGCGAAATCTATTGGATAGATCTTGAGGCTGTGGATCATCTTTGGCCGTGTTAGGTACAGAGGTGAGAACCTTCTCCAGGATGGCCACCGCGGGCCGGGCCACCACCCTGGAGGGATGGCCCTGCTGGTTCTGGCCGTTGTTGATGCCGGCCAGACGAGGGTTTAGAGCGAGCAACTCTCTTCTCTCCTGTATGACAGACTCGGGAGCCTGGTGGAGGAGGGCCGCGGGAGAGAGGCTCACTTGAGGCTTGGTGGCGAGGCTCCCAGTGTGGCTCGGGGATGACCGGATCACACTGGTCACCTGGGTCACTGTTGATGGCAGTTTGGTCACCGGACGAAGCAACTCAGGTCTGTAACACAACACAAACAACATTACTATGTAACTCAGGTCTGTAACACAACACAAACAACATTACTATGTAACTCAGGTCTGTAACACAACACAAACAACATTACTATGTAACTCAGGTCTGTAACACAACACAAACAACATTACTATGTAACTCAGGTCTGTAACACAACACAAACAACATTACTATGTAACTCAGGTCTGTAACACAACACAAACAACATTACTATGTAACTCAGGTCTGTAACACAACACAAACAACATTACTATGTAACTCAGGTCTGTAACACAACACAAACAACATTACTAGTGTCTTCTTTATGAGAAATTGTGTTTACCTACAGTGTTAACAAAGTTCTTAACCTAACCTAACACTAACCTAACCTAACCCAACCTAAAACTAACCTAACCTAAGACTAACCCAACCTAACCTTGTCTTAATTGTCCTAACACTAAATAATCCTGACCTTAACCTAACACTAACCTAACCTAACTTAATGCTTAGCTTAAAATATGATTGAAGGAACAGTAACTATTGGCCCATACTGGACAGTCCCGTTAACACCCAACCCCTATCACTCGTATATCCACCCAACCTAACCTAACCTATCCAGCGTGTTCTAGTTAATGACGATGTTTGGTAACTTGTTCCACTCATCCACTACTTTATTTCCATTTTAGAATATCTCCTCCAATGCCATGAACCACCACTTTTCTTATTAGCCTTTCGTGGGGGACTCTGTCGAAGGCTTTGCTTAAGTCAAGATATACCACATCATAGTCGTGCCCCTCGTCCACTGATTCAAAAACAGATGAAAGTAATGTTAATAGATTAGTCAGACATGAACGCCCGCTTGTGAAGCCATGTTGGGAATCATTGATCAACTTGTGCTTCTCCAGGTGATTTAGAATAGAGTTTGAAATGATTGCTTCCAGTAATTTGCCTACAATTGATGTTAAACTGATTGGACGGTAGTTAGAGGATAGTGATCTATCTCCCTTCTTGAAAACCAGTATTACATTCGCTATCCTCCCGGATTCTGTTACTACACCCGTTATTAAGGACATGTTAAACAACTTTGCGAAGGACATACTAAGCTCTTCCTTACATTCCTTTAATACTCTGGCAAATATCTCATCGGGACCTGGTGACTTAATAGGCTTTAGTTTGTCTATTTGCTTACTAACATCGTTACTAGTCACTACTATCTCGCTTAATTTGTTTTCTTCACTATCTCTGTATATAGTCGGAGCCTCGCTTAACTTAACCCAACTTAACTTAGTCACATGTTGAGGGAGGGAGGGAGGGAGGAAGGACTAAAATCAACAGTAAACTTACCTTATTATAGGGCGGTGTGGTAGTGAAGGGACCGGGTGTCTACTGGAAGCATCATGAGAAGATAACCATTGACGGCCGGTGGGGGAGGTGATAGACGTTGGCTGGGAGATGGGCATGAACACATTGCCTTTAGGTCCCACGGTCACTGGGCTCTGTATGGCCCTCGGGGAGATGGAGGTCGGGGAGAAGCAGCCCGCCGGGGTGGTCGAACGTGACGAGTTATGTAGCGTCACTGTAATTATGGTGTGGAGTTAATGGTGTTGTTATTATTATTAGTTATTATTATTATTGTTATTATTATTATTATTGCCTTGATATAACACACAGTCAAGACACACTCAATACTCACACACTCAACATAACACACACTCAACATAACACACAGTCAAGACACACTCAATACTCACACACTCAATACTCACACACTCAACATAACACAGTCAAGACACACTCAATACTCACACACTCAACATAACACACACTCAAGTCTCACACACACACTCACACACTCAATACTCACACACTCAACATAACACACACTCAATACTCACACACACACACACACACACTCAATACTCACTCAACATGTTAGCAGCCTCAGTCTCGTCCTGTGACCGTGGTGCCGTCAGAGGGAAGTTGGGCGAGGTGTCCGAATCACAGGACATCTCCTCCCAGTTACCTTCAACACTCGGGGTGTCCTTCCTGTAGTGACCAAGAGGACCATTAATGACATGACATGACATAACCTTCCTGAAGTGGCCAAGACGACCATTAATGACATGACCTTCCTGTAGTGACCAAGAGGACCATTAATGACATGACCTTCCTGTAGTGACCAAGAGGACCATTAATGACATGACATGACATAACCTAACACAACCTGACATAACATAACCTAACCAAACCTAACACAACGTGACCTGACCTGTGGCTAGAGTACCTTGTAGTTCGGGTATAATATAGGTCATTTACTCCTCTTGAGCTTAACACACTGTACTTCCTTGAGATAAATGTATAGTATATATCAGGTGCAGCTCAGGTTCTCAACTGGCTCAGTCATGGTAATATTATTATCCACTCTGTATCTGTGTTCTTCTGGCTAAATAAACTTTCAATATCAACTCAATTTATTGTTTTTTCCTTAAATATTTATAAAGATAAATCAGTAAATAATGTACCAAGACAAATATGAAGAAGCTGTATATGTTCAGATATATACAGTTGGTAAAACAACTATCTGTGCATACTGTGGGGGGGATGATATGAGACCATGGACGATAAATTATGGTATATGAGGGCTGTCACTAGTCACACATAACATTTATGAGACCATGGATGATAAATTATGGTATATGAGGGCTGTCACTAGTCACACGTAACATTTATGAGACCATGGATGATAAATTATGGTATATGAGGGCTGTCACTAGTCACACGTAACATTTATGAGACCATGGATGATAAATTATGGTATATGAGGGCTGTCACTAGTCACACGTAACATTTATGAGACCATGGATGATAAATTATGGTATATGAGGGCTGTCACTAGTCACACGTAACATTTATGAGACCATGGATGATAAATTATGGTATATGAGGGCTGTCACTAGTCACACGTAACATTCATGAGACCATGGATGATAAATTATGGTATATGAGGGCTGTCACTAGTCACACATAACATTTATGAGACCATGGATGATAAATTATGGTATATGAGGGCTGTCACTAGTCACACGTAACATTTATGAGACCATGGATGATAAATTATGGTATATGAGGGCTGTCACTAGTCACACGTAACATTTATGAGACCATGGATGATAAATTATGGTATATGAGGGCTGTCACTAGTCACACGTAACATTTATGAGACCATGGATGATAAATTATGCTGGGAATAGCCAGAATACCAGAATAAATTAAAATGGGAGAAATAGCCATACACAACAGCTGTCACCGGGGATTTTTCTGAATATTTTCCGGTTTCATCCAAACACTGCCCTTAACCTAACCTACCCAAACACTCCCCTTAACCTAACCTACCCAAACACTCCCCTTAACCTAACCTACCCAAACACTCCCCTTAACCTAACCTACCCAAACCAAAACCTGACAACATACCCGGCACTGAACGTAATCGAAGAGCTGCGTAGCCTCTTGCCGTACATGGACAAGTGGCGGGAGCAGTATCCCTGACGTTGGCTCTCCTTGCTGCACCCTTCCTTCCCACACAGGCGTCGCCACTGTTTGCCGTTGAACTTCTTCCTGATGCCGTTTGGGGTCGTAACTACCTCGCCCTTCTTGTACTTGAGGGGCGTGGCGGTGCCTGACCTGGGGAAGGGAGGAATGGTTGTTAGTGTGAGAGTTTATAGAGATTGTGGTAGTTTATGACCTGAGGAGGGGGGAATGGTTGTTAGAGTGATAGTTTATAGAGATTGTGGTAGTTTATGACCTGAGGAGGGGGGAATGGTTGTTAGTGTGATAGTTTATAGAGATTGTGGTAGTTTATGACCTGAGGAGGGGAATGGTTGTTAGTGTGAGAGTTTCTGACCTGAGAGGGGGAGGAATGGTTGTTAGTGTGAGAGTTTATAGAGATTGTGTAGTTTATGACCTGGGGAGGGGAATGGTTGTTGGTGTGAGAGTTTCTGACCTGAGAGAGGAATGGTTGTTAGTGTGAGGGTTTCTGAGAGGGAGAGGAATGGTTGTTAGTGTGAGAGTTTATAGAGATTGTGGTAGTTTATGACCTGAGGAGGGGAATGGTTGTTAGTGTGAGAGTTTCTGACCTGAGAGGGAGAGGAATGGTTGTTGGTGTGAGAGTTTCTGACCTGAGAGGAGGGAATGGTTGTTAGTGTGATAGTTTATAGAGATTGTGGTAGTTTATGACCTGAGGAGGGGATGGTTGTGTGAGTTTCTGAGAGGGTGTTGTTAGTGTGAGTTTCTGACCTGAGAGGGAGAGGAATGGTTGTTAGTGTGATAGTTATAGAGATTGTGGTAGTTTATGACCTGAGGAGGGGAATGGTTGTTAGTGTGAGTTTCTGACCTGAGAGGGGGGAATGGTTGTTAGTGTGAGAGTTTATAGAGATTGTGGTAGTTTATGACCTGAGGAGGGGGATGGTTGTTAGTGTGATAGTTTATAGAGATTGTGGTAGTTTATGACCTGAGGAGGGGGGAATGGTTGTTAGTGTGAGTTTCTGACCTGAGAGGAGGAATGGTTGTTAGTGTGATAGTTTATAGAGATTGTGGTAGTTTATGACCTGAGGAGGGAGGAATGGTTGTTAGTGTGAGAGTTTCTGACCTGAGAGGGAGGAATGGTTGTTAGTGTGAGAGTTTATAGAATTAGTTTATGACCTGGGGAGGGAATGGTTGTTAGTGTGAGAGTTTCTGACCTGAGAGGGAAATGGTTGTTAGTGTGAGTTTGAGAGAGGAGAGGAATGGTTGTTAGTGTGAGAGTTTCTGACCTGAGAGGAGGAGGAATGGTTGTTAGTGTGAGAGTTTATAGAGATTGTGGTAGTTTATTGACCTGAGGAGGAGGAATGGTTGTTAGTGTGAGAGTTTCTGACCTGAGAGGGAGGAATGGTTGTTAGTGTGAGAGTTTCTGACCTGAGAGGAGAGGAATGGTTGTTAGTGTGAGAGTTTATAGAGTTGTGGTAGTTTATGACCTGAGGAGGGGAATGGTTGTTAGTGTGAGAGTTACTGACCTGAGAGGGAGAGGAATGGTTGTTAGTGTGAGAGTTTATAGAGATTGTGGTAGTTATGACCTGGGGAGGGGAATGGTTGTTAGTGTGAGAGTTTCTGACCTGAGAGGAGAGGAATGGTTGTTAGTGTGAGTTTTGACCTGAGAGGAGAGGAATGGTTGTTAGTGTGAGAGTTTCTGACCTGAGAGGGAGAGGAATGGTTGTTAGTGTGAGAGTTTATAGAATTGTGGTAGTTTATGACCTGAGGAGGGAGGAATGGTTGTTAGTGTGAGAGTTTCTGACCTTGAGAGGGAGAGGAATGGTTGTTAGTGTGAGAGTTTATAGAGATTGTGGTAGTTTATGACCTGAGGAGGGGGGAATGGTTGTTAGTGTGAGAGTTTCTGACCTGAGAGGGAGAGGAATGGTTGTTACCCAGATTACTATAAGTTGTGACATAACACTAAAACACAACACAACATTACCTTGGCGTCACGGGTGTTGACCGAGGTGTAGTGGTGCCAATGCTACCTTGTTCTATCAGACTGGACGTTGATCCCCGGCTGTGCATAGATGATCGTTTGGGGTCACTGCCGTACTTGGCCCCCAGAGCACCGGGCGTGAGGGAGAGCGATCTGTGGTTACCCCCATAATGACCTGAAAAACATGGTATTATGTTAACGATGGAACGATGGTACAGTTAGTAATGGCCAAACAATCACTATACGTACAGTAGTGACACGCACGCACGCACACACACACACAGTAATATCCGTTAGCCACAACAATTGGTACACAACTCTTCCGGCAATGACAGATTTCCAAGGTAACCAGACGACTCTCTCAAACCCGGAAAAAATCTCCTCAATCCACAGAAATTCCCGGGTATTGGGAAAATTTTCTCAGAATTCTCCGGAAAAATACGACTTTGGGAACGATTTTCCGAGAATATTTCAAATCTGGCTGAGAGAGTTACGGGTGTGAGGGAGTCTGACTAACAGAGATATTACTGTGTATACGTATAAGTAAACACACATACACATAATAATATACGTACATACACAACACACAATATACATACATACACAACACACATAATAATATACGTACATACACAACACACACACACAATAATATACGTACATACACAACACACACACATAATAATATACGTACATGCATATAAAAACACACAAACATTATTATTAACACAACAAAAGTCACAATATATTTTGTATACAATCAGGTGCAGTATTAATGATCTAATTAACCTACAGAGAGAAAGAGAGAGAAAGAGAGAGAGAGAGAGAGAGAGAACACTACAGTAGTGAGGTACCTGCTAGACTGTCACTCCACCAAACAGAGAGAGGTAGGGAGGTCCACTATACAGTACAGTAGTGAGGTACCTGCTAGATCAACATTACCTCCACCAAACAGAGAGAGGTAGAGAGGTCCACTATACAGTACAGTAGTGAGGTACCTGCTAGATCAACATTACCTCCACCAAACAGAGAGAGGTAGGGAGGTCCAATATACAGTACAGTAGTGAGGTACCTGCTAGATCAACATTACCTCCACCAAACAGAGAGAGGTAGAGAGGTCCACTATACAGTACAGTAGTGAGGTACCTGCTAGATCAACATTACCTCCACCAAACAGAGAGAGGTAGGGAGGTCCAATATACAGTACAGTAGTGAGGTACCTGCTAGATCAACATTACCTCCACCAAACAGAGAGAGGTAGAGAGGTCCACTATACAGTACAGTAGTGAGGTACCTGCTAGATCAACATTACCTCCACCAAACAGAGAGAGGTAGGGAGGTCCAATATACAGTACAGTAGTGAGGTACCTGCTAGATCAACATTACCTCCACCAAACAGAGAGAGGTAGAGAGGTCCACTATACAGTACAGTAGTGAGGTACCTGCTAGATCAACATTACCTCCACCAAACAGAGAGAGGTAGGAGGTCCACTATACAGTACAGTAGTGAGGTACCTGCAGATCAACATTACTCCACCAAACAGAGAGGTAGGGAGTCCACTATATGTACAGTGAGGTACCTGCTAGATCAACATTACTCCACCAAACAGAGAGAGGTAGGAGGTCCACTATACAGTACAGTATGAGGTACCTGCTAGATCAACATTCCTACCAAACAGAGAGAGGTAGGAGGTCCACTATAGAAGTGCAGGTGAGGTACCTGGATCAACATTACTCCTCCCCAAAACAGAGAGAGGTAGGGAGGTCCACTATACAGTACAGTAGTGAGGTACCTGCTAGATCAACATTACCTCCACCAAACAGAGGTAGGGAGGTCCACTATACAGCACAGTAGTAAGGTACCTCAGATCAACATTACTCCACCAAACAGAGAGAGGTAGGAGGTCCACTATAAGGCAGTACAGTGGAGGTACCTGCTAGATCAACATTACTCCACCAAACAGAGAGAGGTAGGGAGGTCCACTATACAGTACAGTAGTGAGGTACCTGCTAGATCAACATTACTCCACCAAACAGAGAGAGGTAGGGAGGTCCACTACAGTACAGTAGTGAGGTACCTGCTAGATCAACATTACTCCACCAAACAGAGAGAGGTAGGGAGGTCCACTATACAGTACAGTAGTGAGGTACCTGTTAGATCAACATTACCTCCACCAAACAGAGAGGTAAGAGGTCCACTATACAGCAAAGAGTGAGGTACCTGCTAGATCAACATTGCCCCACCAAAAGAGAGGTGGAGGTCCACTACAGCACAGAGTGAGGTACCCGATCACATCAAACAGAGAGAGGTAGAGGTCCACATACAGAGGAGGTACTGATAGATCAACATTACTCCACCAAACAGAGAGAGGTAGGGAGGTCCACTATACAGTGCAGTAGTAGGTACCTGCTAGATCAACATTACCTCCACCAAACAGAGAGAGGTAGGAGGTCCACTATACAGTACAGGTGAGGTACCTAGCTAGATCAACATTACTCCACCAAACAGAGAGAGGGTAGGGAGGTCCACTATACAGTACAGTAGTGAGGTACCAGCTAGATCAACATATCTCCCAAAACAGAGAGAGGTAGGGAGGTCCACTATACAGTACAGTAGTGAGGTACCTTAGATCAACATTACTCCACCAAACAGAGAGAGGTAGGGAGGTCCACTATACAGTACAGTGAGGCACTCCAAGCAGATCAACATACCCACCAAACAGAGAGAGAGAGAGGTCCACTATACAGTACAGTAGTGAGGTACCTGCTAGATCAAACATTACTCCACCAAACAGAGAGAGGTAGGGAGGTCCACTATACAGTACAGTAGTGAGTACCTGCTAGATCAACATTACTCCACCAAACAGAGAGAGGTAGGGAGGTCCACTATACAGTACAGTAGTGAGGACCTGCTAGATCAACATACTCCACCAAACAGAGAGAGGTAGGGAGGTCCACTATACAGCAGTAGTGAGGACCCAGATCACACCCACCAACAGAGAGAGGTAGGGAGGTCCATATCGAGTACAGAGTGAGGTACTCCAGATCATTACTCCACCCACGAGAGAGGTAGGGAGGTCCACTAACGCACAGTAGTGAGGTACCTGCTAGATCAACATTACCTCCACCAAACAGAGAGAGGTAGGGAGGTCCACATTATACAGCAAGCAGTGAGAGGCACTGCAGATCAACATTACTCACCAAACAGAGAGAGTAGGAGGTCCACTATACAGTACAGTAGTGAGGTACCTGCTAGATCAACATTACTCCACCAAACAGAGAGAGGTAGGGAGGTCCACTATACAGTACAGTAGTGAGGTACCTGCTAGATCAACATTACCTCCACCAAACAGAGAGAGGTAGAGAGGTCCACTATACAGTACAGTAGTGAGGTACCTGCTAGATCAACATTACCTCACCAAACAGAGAGAGGTAGGGAGGTCCACTATGTACGAGTGAGGACTGAGATCAAATTACCAAAGAGAGGTGAGAGGTCCACTACAGTACAGTAGTGGAGGTACCTGCTAGATCAACATTACCTCCACCAAACAGAGAGAGGTAGGGAGGTCCACCATACAGTACAGTAGAGGCACTGCAGATCAACATTACTCCACCAAACAGAGAGGTAGGGAGGTCCACTATACAGTACAGTAGGAGGCTGACAGATCAACATTACTCCACCAAACAGAGAGGTAGAGAGGTCCACTATACAGTACAGTAGTGAGGTACCTGCTAGATCAACATTACCTCCACCAAACAAGAGAGGTAGGGGAGGTCCACTATACAGTACAGTAGAGGTACCTGCTAGATCAACATTACCTCCACCAAACAGAGAGAGGTAGAGGTCCACTATACAGCACAGTAGTGAGGTACCCAGATCAACATACTCCACCAAAAAGAGAGAGGTAGGAGGTCCACTACAGCACAGTAGTGAGGTACCTGCTAGATCAACATTACTCCACCAAACAGAGAGAGGTAGGGAGGTCCACTATACAGTCGTAGTGAGGTACCTGATCAACATTACCTCACCAAACAAAGAGAGGTAGGGAGGTCCACTTACAGTACAGTAGTGAGGTACCTAGATCAACATTACTCCACCAAACAGAGAGAGGTAGGGAGGTCCACTATACAGCAAGGGTAGTGAGGTACCTGCTAGATCAACATTACTCCACCAAACAGAGAGAGGTAGGGAGGTCCACTATACAGTACAGTAGAGAGGTACCTGTTGATCAACATTACCCACCAAACAGAGAGAGGTAGAGGTCCACTATACAGTACAGTAGTGAGGTACCTGCTAGATCAACATTACCTCCACCAAACAGAGAGGGTGGAGGTCCACTGATGTGAGGTACCTGCTAGATCAACATTACTCACCAAACAGAGAGAGGGTAGGAGGTCCACTATACAGTACAGTAGTGAGGTACCTGCTAGATCAACACCTCCACCAAAAGAGAGAGGTAGGAGGTCCAACATACAGTAGTGAGGTACTTCAGATCAACATTACCTCCACCAAACAGAGAGAGGTAGAGAGGTCCACTATACAGTACAGTAGTGAGGTACTGCAGATCACACATTCCTCCACCAAACAGAGAGAGGGTAGAGTACAGTACAGTAGTGAGGTACTCTAGATCAACATTACCTCCACCAAACAGAGAGAGAGGAGGGAGTCCACTATACAGTACAGTAGTAGGTACTGATCACATTACCCACTAAACAGAGAGAGGTAGGGAGGTCCACTATACAGCACAGTAGTGAGGTACCTGCTAGATCAACATTCCTCCACCAAACAGAGAGAGGTAGGGAGGTCCACTATACAGTACAGTAGTGAGGTACCTGCTAGATCAACATTACCTCCACCAAACAGAGAGAGTAGGGAGGTCCACTATACGAGACAGTAGTGAGGACACAGATCAACATTACCTCCACCAAACAGAGAGAGGTAGGGAGGTCCAATACAGTACAGTAGTGAGGTACTGCTAGATCAACATTACCTCCACCAAACAGAGAGAGGTAGGGAGGTCCACTATACAGACAGTAGTGAGGTACCTGCTAGATCAACATTACCTCCACCAAACAGAGAGAGGTAGGGAGTCCACTATACAGTACAGTAGTGAGGTACCAGCATCAACATTACTCCACCAAACAGAGAGAGGTAGGGAGGTCCACTATACAGTACAGTAGTGAGGTACCTGCTAGATCAACATTTCCACCAAACAGAGAGAGGTAGGGAGGTCCACTATACAGTACAGTAAGTGAGGTACCAGAGATCAACATTACCTCCACCAAACAGAGAGAGGTAGGGAGGTCCACTATAAGTACAGTAGTGAGGTACCTCAGATCAACATTACCTCCACCAAACAGAGAAGGTAGAGGTCCACTATACAGTACAGTAGTGAGGTACCTGCTAGATCAACATTCTCACCAAACAGAGAGAGGTAGGGAGGTCCACTATACAGCGTAGTGAGGTACCTCAGATCAACATACTCTCACCAAACAGAGAGAGGTGTAGGGAGGTCCACTATACAGTACAGTAGTAGAGGGTACCTGCTAGATCAACATCATCTCCACCAAACAGAGAGAGGTAGGGAGGTCCACTATACAGTACAGTAGTGAGGTACCTGCTAGATCAACATTACCTCCACCAAACAGAGAGGGGAGGTCCACTATACAGTACAGTAGTGAGGTACCTGCTAGATCACATTACCTCCACCAAACAGAGAGAGTAGGGAGGTCCACTATACAGGACAGTAGGAGGTACCTGTTAGATCAACATTACCCACCAAACAGAGAGAGGGAGGTCCACTATACAGTACAGTAGTGAGGTACCTGCTAGATCAACATTACCTCCACAAAAGAGAGAGGTAGGGAGGTCCACTACAGCAAGGTAGTGAGGTACCTGCTAGATCAACATTACCTCCACCAAACAGAGAGAGGTAGGGAGGTCCACTATAACAGCAGTGGGAGGTACCTCAGATCAACATTACCTCCACCAAACAGAGAGAGGTAGGGAGGTCCACTATACAGTACAGTAGTGAGGTACCTGCTAGATCAACATTACCCCACCAAAACAGAGAGAGGTAGGGAGGTCCACTATACAGTACAGTAGTGAGGTACCTTAGATCAACATTACCTCCACCAAACAGAGAGAGGTAGGAGGTCCACTATACAGTACAGTAGTGAGGTACCTGCTAGATCAACATTACCTCCACCAAACAGAGAGAGGGAGGTCCACTATACAGCACAGAAGTGAGGCACCTGCTAGATCAACATTACCTCCACCAAACAGAGGTCCACTATACAGACGGTAGTGAGGTACCCAAGATCAACATTCTCCACAAACAGAGAGAGGTAGGGAGGTCCACTATACAGTACAGTAGTGAGGTACCTGCTAGATCAACATTACCTCACCAAACAGAGAGAGTGTAGGGAGGTCCACTATACAGGCAGGAGGTACCTGCATCAAACATTACCTCCACCAAACAGAGAGAGGTAGGGAGGTCCACTATACAGTACAGTAGTGAGGTACCTGCTAGATCAACATTACCTTCCACCAAACAGAGAGAGGTAGGGAGGTCCACTATACAGTAGTAGTGAGGTACTGCTAGATCAACTATCACCAAACAGAGAGAGTGTAGGGAGGTCCACTATACAGTACAGTAGTGAGGTACCTGCTAGATCAACATTACCTCCACCAAACAGAGAGAGGTAGGAGGTCCAACAGGGGACCTGATCAACATACCTCCACCAAACAGAGAGAGGTAGGGAGGTCCACTATACAGTACAGTAGTGAGTACCTGCTAGATCAACATTACCTCCACCAAACAGAGAGAGGTAGGAGGTCCACTATACAGTACAGTAGTGAGGTACTCTAGATCAACATTACCTCCACCAAACAGAGAGAGGTAGGGAGGTCCACTACAGTACAGTAGTGAGGTACTCTGCTAGATCAACATTACCTCCACCAAACAGGAGAGAGGGAGGTCCACTATACAGCACAGTAGTGAGGTACCTGCTACATCCATTACCCCACCAAACAGAGAGAGGTAGGAGGTCCACTATACAGTACAGTAGTGAGGTACCTGATCAACATTACTCCACCAAACAGAGAGAGGTAGGAGGTCCACTATACAGTACAGTAGTGAGGTACCTGCTAGATCAACATACCTCCACCAAACAGAGGTAGGAGGTCCACTATACAGTAGTGAGGTACCGCAGATCAACATTACCTCCACCAAACAGAGAGAGGTAGGAGGTCCACTATACAGCACAGTAGTGAGGTACTGCGATCAACATTACCTCCACCAAAACAGAGAGGTAGGGAGGTCCACTATACAGTACAGTAGTGAGGTACCTGCTAGATCAACATTACTCCACCAAACAGAGAGAGGTAGGGAGTCCACTATACAATGCAGTAGTGAGGTACCTCAGATCAACATTACCCACCAAACAGAGAGAGGTAGGTCCACTATACAGTACAGTAGGAGGTACCTAGATCAACTTCTCCACCAAACAGAGAGAGGGTAGGAGGTCCACTATACAGTACAGTAGTGAGGTACCTGCTAGATCAACACTCCCCAAACAGAGAGGGTAGGAGTCCTATATACATAGTGAGGTCGCTGATCAACATTACCCACCAAACAGAGAGAGGTAGGGAGGTCCACTATACAGTACAGTAGTGAGGTACCTGCTAGATCAATACCTCCACCAAACAGAGAGTGTAGGGAGGTCCACTATACAGTACAGTAGTGAGGTACCTGCTAGATCAGCGTCAGCATTACCTCCACCAAACGCTCGACGGACGACCGCAATCACCTGAATGAAAACCTGTAAATATGTAAAAATTCAGACGTCTGTCGTGAGGGGGGTGTGTGTTAACAACACACAAGAAAGCTGACACGCACACATGCACGCACACACGCACGCACACACGCACACGCTACATAGTTACACAGTACATACAACACAAGTACAGTAGAGTACAACACAGTACAGTACAACACAGTATATACAACACAGTACAATGACACAGTACAGTATAGTACAACAAAGTACAGTACAACAGTACAGAGTACAACACAGCAGTATAGTACAACACAGCA